TCTCAAACTCAACTTACCTGGGGGCCGCTGGAAGTAGAGTCTGGGTGAGGCTGGGCCGCATCAAGCATTCCACCATTGTGGTGGTGGTGGGCCGCTCATCCCGCGTGGCTCCCGGAGGCGCTTTGAAGGCCGCAGGGCCCCTCCCTCGTGCCCCGCCCGTCCTGGCAAGGGGCCCGCGGGCCGCGAGTTTGAGACCCCTGATTTAAAGTGAAATGTTTGAGGTGGGGTTGGATGACAAAACATTCAAGGTGTTTTTGAAGGAGACAAAAACATTTTGGAAGGCTAGAAAATTTATTTGGGTGCTTTCAAGTGAAAATGCAAGATTTTGGCTGTTTCTTCTTGGGTAAAAATGGTCGTAGAATTTTGAGGGGATTTTTTAAAATAGTAAATAGGACCAGAAAATTTTCTTGGACGGATTCTGTACATCTTTAAGTTGCATCTAGAGTCGATTCTGTACATCTTTAAGTTGCATCTAGAGTCAATTTCACCCACTGTGTTCTAATAGGAATTCATGGATCCCAGCAAATTCATGGAATACGAGCTTATTCAAAATATGCACAAGGAAAGAATTAGTCAAATCCAGTTTGTCTCAGAGGACAATCCCATGGAGGTTCTCTACATGCGGTTTAACCCACTGCCTTACTGAGCCTTCTTCCATTTTACTCTGAACCTGGTACTCCCCCCTGCCCTCCATGGGGTAACTATCTAAACAAAAGATTGGCTTGTGTTAGGGTTTTGTAGCTACCCATGACCTTGCCAGGTCATCAAAATCCAAATGACACAACAAGCCCATGTGAAGCCCCAAAGCCTACAGAACTGCTTGGCAAGAGCAACAGGAAGTCTTGCCACTTGGACACTTTGGGCAACTGTCACTGACTTTTCTGTCATCATGTGCCCAATCCCCACTCAGGGCTTGCGTAGGTAGAAGACAGGAGTGTCTCATTCATTCCCCCATCACTTTTGCCACGGCTGCTGAGTAGTCACCACGTGGGGACCAGTGGGCATGAGCCATATGTTGCTGGGCCTCCTCAGGAAGGAAGAGGCAAGCAGAATACAGTTCAACCCACTGGTTCCCATTGCTGCCAGTTCTGGCAAATTGGGGTGCAAATCACTCCCTCTCTGCCAGGATCGGCAGTGACACATGTCCCCATGTGCTACTTGGACATTTGAGGGCAGCTGTCATCCTTGCTCTTCTCCCCTCCTGAACTCTCCCCTGGGATACCAGTGGGGAGAAGATGTCTCAGGACTACAACCTTGCTGCATTATTTCTCAGGTAAAGCAAAGGATCCAGGCTACTGTTAAGCCCAGAGTAGCTTAAAATGCCATGCAAACCCACCCACAATGTGACAAATTAACATAATAGTAGAAGTAAATAAGAAGAAATCACACAGCACTAGATAAACTTGTCTTGCCAACCTTGAGCAAATATTTCAAGAACTGAGAAACTTCCACATTCAAACTCACACTGTTTGATAAGCCCTTAGTGTGAATAAAAATATTATTATATCAAAAATACAGGAATAAAGGCATGCAAATAACAAAATGTCAAATCTCTTATTTGAATTTCTATGGAATTCTATCTCAGTACTGAACTGTCAAACTGCCCCATATTCTGACCCTTTGCTTTCATACCATATTTTGGAAAAATAATCCAAGGTAACATACTGTGATAAAAGAACAGAGGATTCAATTTTTGTAATTTTCATTTAGACAACCTGAAGAATGTCAGTCAAACCTCAAAATAAAGGCTCAGACTTCAGATCTGCATTACTTTTGATGCCATCCAACTCTATCAGCCCCAGGCATATCTTGGATCTGAGAGAAACTCCACAGCTCTCAGGCTGTGCAAATGCCCACCGTGCCCTTCGCAACTTTTTGGGGAGGTTACAGAGAGCAGTGGACACAAACCTTCTGCACTGTGCCAGGAATGCTGAGACCAGTCACAGACAATGCCAGTGCAAGTGGAGGGCCACGTCACAGGCGGTTACCAGAGAGAGTGTCATGTGTCACATTTTGGTCACTGGAGGGGCACAGGCTAGTGCTATGGTTGCAATCCTTGCACATTTAACATACACAAAAGTCCCAATGAGGCTTATGTAAATTTAACATGCACAGAACTGTGGACTTTTTTTTAAATTATTTGCGCACTTCCAGGAAACCACATTTCAAAGGTTGTTCAGTATAAAAATGTTATGATAAATGGCTAAGATACCCCATTGACATTAATATCATCCATGTACAGTAAAAAGGCTTTATGGTGCTATTCATTCAGGGTGTGAGTAGGTAGAAAATGACTGCCTTATAACAAACCTATCAAATAGTTAATACCATCATCTCCATATTGCAAATGTAGGGCAAAGACAGATGGCAAAGGACTTGCCCGCAGCAAAGCAATTATTATGCACTTATCATTCCCTACTCATAGTTGTTTCTGGGTTATTTAGACAATGTTGTGGCCATTCCATTTCATTTCTGTGTCTAATGAACACTTTTTATGAGTTTTTCTTGTTTGTTTTTGGAGCAAGAAACATGTGGCATTGAATTATAAAAATGAAAGAAAACACAATTTCCCTTTGCCACAGTGCCACCTATTGGTTATGTAGCAGAAGGGCAGGAAAGGAACCCATCTTCATGTTGTGTCCACGCTCAGTTCGGCAACAAAATGGGGGGTTATTTATTTATTTATTTATTTCATATGACATAGCAGCATGTAGATTTACTGCATAAAAATCCATTGAAACAATACATAAAATGTGTATAAAATGTAAATTATTTTAAAATAGGGGCCATAAATTATTTTAAAAACATGCAATATGGATGATGAATAAAATTATGGATGAAATTAAGTTGTGTGTGAGCAATTACTAAAGTGGCTTGGCCTATGGTCGAGTGTCTACGTCATTTAGCCATTGGACAAAAGTACCCTCAAGATTGTGGTTCAGTGTAGATTAGCCTCCTAACAAGGATCTCCCAGCAAGAAGCAGCAGCATGAAAATGGGAAGTGGGAACAGCAGATTCATAGCCTTGTGCAGAAAAGCTCACAGTGATGTTGTGATTAGCTAATTACTACTTTCAGTTCTGTTGCAGAACTGAGATACAAGCACTGCATAAGGAGCATTCCCTTTCTTGCTTTTCCACTAGATAAGGTCTAGGTAATTTTGTGCATGAGAATTCATTGTGTACTCATCATTTCCTACTCACAATTGTTTATAGGTTCTTTAGATGACATCATGACTCTTTTCCTCTTGTTTTTAAACATCACTTTCAGCTATTTTAAAAGCAAGGAAATAGGGTGTCACTGATAAAAGCAGAAGGAAACATCTTTTCCACTTGTATAATTGCATTATTCTGCTATACCACCAGGCCACCTAGTAATTATGTAACAGAAAAAGAAATATTTGTTTCCTCTGTCTGTTCTTTCACAAAACCTAGAATAGATACAGTGAATGAACAGCCTCATGCAGCAAAGCTCTGGGTGGCCTGGTGGTGTAGCAGAATAAAGCAATCACACAAGTGGAAAAAGTGTTCTCTTTTGCTTTTAAAATAATACCACTTTTTCCCCAGCTTTAAAAAAAAATCATTGAAAGTACATTTAAAAACAGAAATGAAACTGAAGCGTCATTGTGTTCCAGACTCATCTGACAATGTCATCTAAAAAGCATTAGCAGGAAATTATGAGCACCTAGTAAATGTCTCATGTAGGAAAGTGCACTGTAAAGTTGGTTTATTTATTCTACCTTTTCTCCAAGGAAAAGGTAGAATAAATAGCTTTTCCAAGCTCCCCTATGCTTACCCTCACAACAACCTTGTGAGGTAGGTTAGGCTGAGAGATTGTGACCAGTCCAAGGTGACCCAGTGAGCTTCACGAATGAGCAAGGACAAGCAAGGGTATCCTGGGTCTCAACCAGAAATTCTCCTTGCTCCCCTGAGTCTTGAACAGGAATGCAGGGGGTGGACAGGTCCTGCAGCCGCTCTGATTCTCTTAGGATATGGTGCTGGCCGCGGCATGCTGAGAGCTGGAAGGCTTACTTCTGTTCAACCATGAATAAGTTTGCACCCTCAGCCACTATACTTCATTAGGAGAAATTTGCAGTTATATGTTTGTCTGTTCAGACTGTTGGCACAGATCCAGTCCCTAAGAGAATGTATTTTGTACCCTTGGGAATTATGGGAGGTTATTCTACCTTCATTGAATGCTTTGCCAGGAACCTCTCTACAGCCCATGACATTCGTTTTCCTAGAGTGTGAAATGTTTTTATTAAAGCTGATCCTTGCCTCTATTGGCTAAAAGGAGAATGAAACATGCTGTCTAGCTCAGGAAGAAATATAATACCAACTGGTTGATTCTGGGCCTAGCTATCCATGAGCCCCATGGCTATTTGTTCAAAAGCTATTTGAAACACTCAGTTTGTAACAACTACAGAGCTGCTTCTTTTAAAAATTAGAGCCTGCCTCTTCTTTTGCCCCATTCCGTTTTTATAGCACAGATGGGGGGAGGGGGATTGCCTTGCCAATAGAGAGTTGGCTTCCATTGTGGTATGCTGCTTCTTTTCAATCAGTTTTATACAAACTACTACTGCATTCATTTCCTCACTAATGTTATTGCCAACTAATAGAAGCTAGTCCTTGCAAAGAGCTGAGCTTTTCATTTAAATTTGTTTTTATCTCTCGTTACACTGCTTTTTTTATAGACATTGCTGCTTTCAGCATTTGCATTTCATATTTTAATTGCTTTTATTGTATTCTTGTGTTCTGTATTGTAAGTTACCCTGGGAGTTTTTTGAACTAGGCAGTATAAATTTAATTAATGAGGTGACTGATTGAGTTTTTGATCAAACCAGAACTCTTTGTAAATTAAACTGTGTAAAAACCAAACCAAACGAAACAACAAAAACACAACCAGCTTGACAAGAGGTTAGCTGCAAAGTAACCAAGCCAAAAATTAGCTGAAACTGACAAGAAAAACCAGAGAGAGTAAGTCCACTGGGGGTGTGCAATCAAAAGAACATTAACAGTTTATTCAGACATGCAGGAAATACATGTGGCATGTAGGTAGGCCCCAAAGGAACTACAAAGATGGAATCTGGACAAGATGCTTTTATATCCTATCCATTTGGGATCCAGGGAGGATCACGTATGCAATTTGCTAGATGCACATGAGAGTAAAACAAAAGGGTTGAATGGATTAAGACTGCACAACAGAAAAAAGAAAAACCTTCAGGATAGGCAGACGTTTGCATGTCTAAGCTGTGCCACAAGGGAAGACCTTTCAGGACAGGCACATTAGCTGGGATAGCCAGACTTGCAATGTGAATTCCACCTTAAGGCTCAAGCTGTTCTTGCAGTGTCAGGCTATTAGTAGCCATATTATTTCAGAGCTTTTGCTCATTTTTCCTAACAATATAGATTAAAAGAAAACTTTAAATTTCTAGTTATATGTGCTTGATCTGCATTACCTCAACCTAATCCCCGCAACTTTGGATAAGATTCCTTTTCAGTGCTCTCTGGGGAAAATAATACATTCCTTTGTTCTTCCTTTCCCTTTCTTAGGGTACAAACCTTGGCTTGTTTAGAATGCCTGGCTGAGAAACCCTAAGAGTTCCCGGATCTTTGTTTGTTTGTTTGTTTGTTTCAGCATGCATAGGATCATGCCCTTAAGTGCTAAAAGTCTGGGGCAGTTTCATGCCTGCAGTGTCTGATGCTGAAATTTCATGTTTTCATCCAGAAGAAACTGTAGAGCAAAGAACATTTCCACTACTCCTTCCACCACAACTGCCACACCTTTCTGCATTTTCCTGTGCTGAGATGCCGAAGCTTGCATATGGCAGCCTTGCAGGAGGAATGGCAGCTACCCATGCTGCTCCACTCTGTAATTCCCTCCATAGGGTACTCCTGCACCACATAGGCATACAGCCAGTTGGCAATATTTGCTATTGATAGTTTCTATCCTTCACAAATCACTGCCATTGTTTTTGCGGTTTGAGGATGCCTTTAAAAAAATGAGAGTGCCATTTGTCATTGCAGCCTGATTTTGCAATCCCAGCCCAGTCTTGGATGACATTTCCTCACATTCTCTGCCCTCCCAGTTCAGCTGGAAGCATACAGTGAAGCCCTCTGTGCTCTTGAAATCTGGAGCAAATCAACATCAGAAGTCAAGGAGCTCCATATTTGTCATTCAGTAGGAAAGTCCTGTGGCAAAGAGCAGGAAATATGATGTTAGAAGCACCCTTTTATTATTTTTAAAACCCTTCCTACCAATTTATCCAGATGTTAAATCCAGGAACCTTTTTCAATCTGCTACTTTTCCTCAGGCCACTGAGTTCATGCTGTGGTTTGGTCTTCTGTCCCGTCCTGTTTCTGAGTCTTATTTTGGAGATCTGGGAGGAAAAAGTTGGCCAGAGAGCCAGGAAACCCTGAGGAGACTCTGAAAGTCTCTGTAGGTGTAATCCCCATTGGCCAAGGAAAGTGTGACTTGGCACTGGGGTCAAGAGCACCTCTACTGTGCAGTTTTTCAGCCTCCAAGGCCAAGCTACCCTTTGGAATCAGGCTAGGAAAATATGCATATGTCTGCTCTTTGCATCACTTGACCACCTCTGTTCTTCCCTATAAATCCCTTCCAGGGTAGCCCTTTGACGCAAGCCTACATGTCACCCTTGTGCTGTGCCAAAGCAGCTGCTCCTGCTCCAACACAGCTGATCAATTTCTTTTTAATATAATACTCCCCACGCCTGCTGGATCAACCATGGCCTTTTGCTGTTTTCACACACCCATTCAAAGCCTGTCTAGTGCCAAACAAAAGCTCATTACCCGCCCCAGACACATGCTGTCTGTTAGTATATTTATTAAATCACACAGATGTCGAATGAGGTCACAACACTCTTTATAATGGAGGGAGTGGGTGGGAATTAGGAATACATTTTAATTTTCCCCCCATGCCACTTTATGCATCCCTAGCTGACCCCCTCATTCCTGCATTCCTCATTCCTGAGCCTACATATCGATACACCCCATTTTACCAGATGCCAATAACAGAAATCCAGCAGGAGAAACAGCAGGAGGCTGCCTCCAGGGCTGGGTCAAGTGAACACAGCCAAGGGCAACAGAGGAGATTAAAAGTCCCTTTGAGGTTTATGTGGACAGTCAAAAGCCTTGAAAGTGCAGTTTCTCCAACTCGGCCTCAGAAACGTTCCTCCACCCACCCCACCTCGGGGAGGGAGCAAACAGCATTTATACTTTCTACTAGTTTACAAGAATGTTTTTTATCTGTACTTAAGTAGAATTATTTTTAGTCTTCCATTAAGGGTAACACCCTCTCAAAGCAGTACAAGCTACCAGTCTGGTACTGAAGGTGAAAATACCAAGGAGCAAGTCCTGCCCACCCTCCCAGACTTCCTTCACACACTAACTGATATTGCTCCACAACAATTTCCCTCCCTCCCTCCCTCCCTGCTGGCTATCCCCTCCTCAGGGGTGTCAGGGGTGTTGAAGCTGAAGCCCAGGGACCAAATACAGTTCAGTCTGGCACTCCGTCATTGCCCGGATGACAACACCCCCTTCACATACTGCAGCCTGCTTTCCTAGCTTTTGTGTGCTTTTTCTCCCTATTCTAAAAGCTTCAATGCCTCCCCTAAGGACTCATTACTGGAAGTTGTTGTTGTTGTTGTTGTGAGTCATGAAGTCGTGTCTGACCCATCCAGACCCCATGGACCAATTCCTCCAGGCCTTCCTGTCCTCCATCATCTCCTGGAGTCCACTTAAGGTCAACCTGACTGCTTCAGTGACTCCATCCAGCCACCTCATCCTCTGCCATCCCCTTCTTCTTTTGCCCTCAATTGTTCCCAGCATTAGGCTCTTCTCCAGGGAGTCCTATCTTCTCATTAGGTGGCCAAAGTATTTGAGTTTCATCTTCAGGATCTGGCCTTCTAAAGAGCAGTCAGGGTTGATCTTCTCTAGGACTGACCGGTTTGATCGCCTTGAAGTCCAAGGGACTGAGCACATATTCATTCTGATTTCTGTGTTGACCATCTGATGATGTCCATGTGTAGAGTCGTCTCTTGGTTTGTTGGAAAAGAGTGTTTGCTATGACCATCGTATTCTCTTGACAAAATTCTACCAGCCTGAGTCCTGCTTCATTTTGTACTCCAAGGCCAAACTTGCCTGTTGTTCTGGTGATCTTTTGGCTTCCTACTTTAGCATTCCAATCCCCCAAGATGATAAGGACATCATTTTTTGGTGTTAATTCTAGAAGGTGTTGTAGGCCTTCATAGAACTGGTCAACTTCAGCCTCCTCAGCACCAGTGGTTGGGGCACAGACTTGAACTACTGTGATGTTGAATGGTTTGCCTTGGATTCGAACTGAGATCATTCTGTCATTTTGGAGATTATATCCCAGTACTGCTTTTCCTGCTCTTTTATTGACTATGAAGGCTACTGTATTTCTTTTGAGGGATTCTTGCCTGCAGTAGCATACCTGATGGTCATCTGGATTAAATTCACCCATTCCTGTCCATTTTAGTTCACTGATTCCTACGATGTCGATGTTCAGTCTTGTCATCTCTTGTTTGACCATGTCCAGCTTGCCTTGATTCATAGATCTTACATTCCAGATTCCTATGGAGTATAGATCTTTACAGCGTCGGACTTTCCTTTCACCACCAGATACATCTGCAACGGAGTGTCCTTTTGTGTTTAACCAAATCACTTTATTCTTTCTGGCGCTACCAGCACTAATCCTCTACTCTTCCCCAGTGGCACATTGGACACTTTCCAACCTGAGGGCATTATCTTCCAGCGTCATATCTTTTTGTACTGTCCATGGGGTTTTCATGGCAAAGATACTGGAGTGGGTTGCCATTTCCTTCTCCAGTGGATCATGTTTTGTCAGGCTCTATGCTATGACCTGTCTGTCTTGGGTGGCCCTGCACGGCATAGCTCATAGCTTCTTTGTGCTATACAAGGGATACAAGTCCCTTCACCATGACAAGGAGTGATCCATGAAGGGGTACTGGCAGTAAGAACTTAAAATATGCTTTAAAAATTAAACTATGATGGTATTCCAGCACTACTATCCTATGGCAGTGGGGGGTATATACCAAAGGGGGGATATATTTGGCTCCTTTGACCTTGCCTTCAGCCATGCCCACCACCATAATGCCTTCCCAAGTGCTTCTCCAGCACTGAATTCAAATGTCAGGTGAAAAGAGGTTTGGGCATCCCTGGTTTACACAAAAGGTACTTTAGTAGGTAGAAGAGGAAGAAAGGTGACAAAAGAAGTACACTTGGGAAGCAGGACTAGGAGTTTCAGAAAAAGTGTTGGGAACGTGTTCTACATTTAGTCATATATAGGTTCAGCAGAAGAAAGCACAGTACTGTAGGTTTCATTGCGATGCTGTTGCTTGCAGCTGAATCTATCAAAATCCACACTGAAAGGTTTACCACAAAAAGTAAAAAGGGTTTCTTTACTCACAAACAGTGCATTCATGACATGCATGAAGGATAGAAGTTAGCATGTTCATGCAGAATATCTTGGTTCAGAAGGAAGGTGTATTGTTTGACACTTAGCTTAGAAGAGAACAGAGTACCATGCTTTGCCTTTCAAGGTAAGAAGGTAGTGGAAGGTCATGTGATCCTTTTGTCTTTCCAGGTGAGGTAGAAGGAGAAAAAGGGACAGGAAAGATGCAGCTTGAGCAGAGAGTTCAGACTCATCTTGTCTACAGCATTAGCCCCTATCTCCCCACTCTGGTTGGTGGGCAGGACCATTCAGTATTAAAACGTAAAGGGTTTGACCAAGGAGAGAGAACAGGGGTGAGGCAGAAGGACGCAGCCATTGTTTGGACCTCCTGTCAGCCTCCCTGTAGGCTGCCTCACAGTTTGGAAAATTTGCTTCCAAGGGGATGCAATGCATGCATAAAGCCGTCTTATATTTAGCTGAATTATTACTGTATTCTTCTCGCCCATCACTGTCTACCTCTGGGTACACCAAGGTCTGGAGGACGTTGCCTGGTCCTGCTGCTCTACAGCCTTATTACTGAAGATGCCAGCAACTGAACTTGAGAGCTGCAGAATGCCAAGCACGTGCTCGGCCGCTAAGTTATGGCTCCTCTCCAGCTATTCAGTGTGCATTATAATATTTGGAGAAGGGCTATAACTTAGCAGCAGAGCTACACACTCTGTTTTGGTAACTTCATACAAGGATTGGAGAGAGCCTGCCAAAATGCAACTGTTAAAAATATATTATACTGTTCCTCATCAGGAATGATGTAGTGGAAGTTTGCTGGATATTGATCCATTCTTATTTTGGAGAGTTATTTTGCTACATAAACAAGGCTATTATCCAGTATTATCAGATACCTGAATAAAAGCCTGTGAACTCAGTGGGGCTTGCTCCTGAGCAGAGTTGCACAGGGCTGTGCTATGAGATGAGGCAAGAAAGCAGGCATCCTTTACACATTCAAAAGAGCACCCCAACAGAGAAGAGCAAGACATTCCAGCCTCCCTTGGGTTGCATAATCTTTAAGTATGCACAATTAGATCTTCCTTCCTTCCTTCCTTCCTTCCTTCCTTCCTTCCTTCCTTCCTTCCTTCCTTCTAGGGTGGCTTTATTTCAAACATAATCCACCATCCCAGAATTTGGAGTTATGTCTGTATAGTCTTAGTTATTTCAGTGAATGCCATGCTGAGTATTATGTGTATTCGTATAAATAACAAAATATACTTTAAACCCTGTAAAATATATAATTTAACAAACATTAAAAACATCTAAAGGGAGAGTATGTTTAACAGCATAATGGTTTTATGTTTCCTCCTTCCTTCCGTCCTTCCTTCTTTCCCCTGGATTTAAGCATCTTGGGGAATAACCCTATGCATGTTTGGACAAAAAGGGACTTCCAGCATCCCCCAGCTGGCATAGCACAACTGGCAGGGGCATGCTGGGAGTTGTAGGCCTTTTTTCAGTTTAAATTTGTGCCTTTAGTGCACAGGAGTAAAGCACTCAAGCCAAGCCCCTTCACTGATTTCCTGTCCATAAGAGGTATTTGCCAATAACTGCCGCCATTCTTAATTGGATTATATCAAACCGACAGGTAACCTCCCAGGACACAATGCTTTCAACAGATTCAGTTCCAAAAGTCTGTGGTGAGTCATCAAGTTACAAGTTTGATTTGAGATGCTTTGTGGACCTGCCCTCAGGT